ACTGTGAATGTTGTTGAACGGATAATTTCGGACGTCATCCGGCTAATGTTTGTATTAGCATCAAGGTTCTGACCAAAGGCCGTGTGAGGTATCTCATGGGCTCGTCAGAAGTATTAAGCATTTAAGTGCATTGAAAATTAGGCCTTGCATAAACTCGCGGTTGTTTTATGCCAATTGCGAAGGCCGAAAACCGAAGCCTTGACAATGCACGGCAAAGTATCATCAGAGGTGTATTGATAACAGTCAAGAAATCTCTCATCAATAGATGCCCTCAGTTAATCTCCCTTACCGTTCTGATAATTAACATTTATGCAAATAGGTTCTCTTATTTTGTTCCAATATTGTTCATATATTCTTAATTTTGCGGTCTTCATAATCCTCAACAATAATATTTTAGTATCGTTGTAGTAACGATATTTTTGTAATATATTTGAGGAATCCCGAAGAAAGTAATGGGTGTTCTTACTTGTAATTTATTTTATATTGTTAACAATTCTCTATATAGTATTTACTGATTATTCCGCCTTTGAAAAATATTGGAAATATTCCTTGAATAAAAACAAAAGCCGGGGGTAATGTTAGATTAGGCTAGCAACCTACGAGAGTAGCAAAACCTGTTTTGTTGAAGTCTGTTAACTGACACACGGGCACGATTATCGCCGTGCAACGGACGTCATTGTGATAAGCAAATATGAATGCCGCGGAGTTACCAATAGAGTGTTACATTGGAATGAAACTTATTCAAGAAAAGAGAGGAAATGATGAGTTCAACTCGTTTATAGCAAGGGGCTTTTAAAAAGAGTATTTTACACTCCATTTCAGATTTTATGCAATTAAAGTGAGATTTTTATAAAATTATTTCCTAATGTTTGAGCCTTCGTTCAGAGAATTACTATGGAAATTACAAGAACATATTAAAAGGCAAGATACCGATGTGAGTTGTGCTATACCACCAGAAGAAATGAATACATGTGCAATTCACTATCGAACCTATTCATTTTATAAATGAAAAAACCTACGATGCTCGTTCAACGCACGTTGTTAGTACGCAATGTGTTCTGCACCTTATGGATGCCTATGAAGCTACAATCTCCGTCAGGAACAACGCACGCATTCTAGCGGCTAACGTCTACTACGCTACAGTCGTAGCTTCAGAGCGCTAGTGTGCCACATGCGGCCTTGCTGCACTACGACGGACGTACTTTGACGTCCGCTATTTGACGTTCGTGTGTCTAGCTGTAAGTGGTAAAAATCACTTTCATCGGTTCTTTACATTTCATATCTTTTACATTTAAGTGTGAAAATGTGAAAATATTCACTAATCTGCATAAAAACAATTTTCCAGTTACCTGAATAATTCACATACATACCGAAGTGTTACATAAGTTAGTAAAATAAAATCAGAATTCTTAAATCTTTGTCCACTACAATTCACAATGCATTTGACAACACTGTTCATTTTCCTAATTCTCTAATGGGTTTTAACATGATCCACAAGGACTAGCTTTGGGTAAAATTGGATAATTCAATATTAACAAAGAGAGCGTCAAAAAACTGAGAGAAAATGTTAAGAATATTGCAACACAATTTTCTTTAAAGCGTCTGTAATTGTCATTAAGATTATTTAGAACTGCATTAAACGTAATTATGTAAGTATGGAATGAGGGATTGGAATCTGGGGCATCTCGTGTATCTCGACGTGCGGTAACTGCGCCCCAACGAAACCTCCAAGGTATGATGTGTTGTCACTTGATAGATGGCACAGTTTCATAGGCATTTGGGGAACTACAGAGGAAAGACTGTCCTATCTTTTATCAGTGGTGAAAGAGTGCGGAAGAACAGTCTTGTGAAGAGCACACGTGCAGTCTGTCATTTTTCATAGGCAAGTCCAATAGTTTGGGGATACAAAATTGCGTGTCAGCTGTAAACAACGAAGACAACAGAGAACGCACTCCTGCGATCCACCACCCTCAAAGGCTGCGAAAAGTTCTCGCTTTCACTGACTCCTCTCAACTTTATTTGTCGAGCTGAGCTGCTTACCGAGAAGGAGAGAAGTGCATGTCCAACAGGCGAGAGATACACCGAAGTGTTAACGTGTTTCTAACACGCTGTCAAATCCAAGGGACCGGGTTTGCTCCAATTTAAGCGATCGAACTGAACGTCCTCCCGCAGGAAACACTTCAACTTCCCCCTATGGGCGCGAACACGTCCACTTGGGGTGTTGACGTCCTTGTGGTAGGCAGCAAACGCTCCCCTAAAAGGCTACCACTGTCTTCCTGCCAGAGGAATAAGTCACTTAACATCTATAACGATTACTACTCTCAAGATGGACATAACTTCGTATCTGTTCACAAAGGTCTTTTTCTACATTCTGACCCTTATTCTACTAACGTATACTACTAATTTAAAAAAAAGAGAAGAAGAAGAATAGCACGCAATGTCCCAATTCAAAACGTATGTATTCTACGACTAAATTCATAAAGAAAATTGTTTTTGAAGATGCAAATATTCGCCATGTGATAAAGAAACGCAACTTTCTGGAAAAAATCCCGTTCACTGCAAATTAACGAGAGATTTACATTTTACGAATTAGAATTAGATTTTTTGCACTAAAGTGCATTCTCTTTATTAAGAATAAGAAGTAAGAAAACAAGGACCAGTTTTATCGAACCGTGATTTCCATGTTAACCATTCCAATCATTTCATCACAACTATTTCCACATCAGAAATACAAACTTCACGGAAGAGACTAAACTACATTATTTTTATTTTCATTACAGCATCAACTTAAATCCTAGAGACTTTGCAAAATTAAATCGAAGAACTACTTTTAATAATAATGAATTATATTGGTATAGAAATTCTAAAATTAAATTTTGAAAATGTTTCGCTATTAACTGTTTTGCGAGAAAAGAAAGGAAACTTTCTTGGGATAGAGCAAACAATTTAATTTCTCAATTTTCAATAAACTGTTTAAATCAATTCATATAAACGAAAAGTCTATTAAAAACAGTAACTTTATTGTGAAATGCAGGGTTTCAAGATGCTGCTGCAAGTGAAAATATTCTTCCCAGGAAATTATAAAAATATTTTTCAAACTTATCCAATAATTGCAATAGTCAAGAGGGATTAATTACCCTCAACTTCAAAAAAAAAAATATTACTGAACATTATATATTGAGAATTCCCTTTCAGTCCTTCCACATTAATAAGAATCGTTTCACTTCCTCTCGGAATGGCAATAAGTTTTACCACAGTCTGTTCTAATTATTTCAGTATCGTTTTGGAGAGGAAAGAGATTTTTTTCCCCTTTCAAATGTCCAAATGTATCTGCAGGAATACCTTCTATAAACCCGTCAAATTGAGCCTAGCTCCTCACTTTTGACGGTATCGTCGTCTGTGTAATAATCGACGAAACTCATTTAAGACGGTATGGTCCATATAATGAGACAGGTTAATCTTTCTCCGAGATAGAATGTGACTGGGCTTCGGAAGAGAACGCGTAGCGTAGCCAGAAATTGCCGATACGCAAACAACAACAACAACAACAACAACAACAATAATAATAATAATAATAATAGTTTATCCGTTTGCAAATAGTGTTACTCTACAAATACTCTACGGGGATGAATTTGAAACAAGGGAGGTCGGGCAAATAAACAAGCGTGAGCATGCACATCTGCAGTTGGTTTATTTCGTTCCAGATTGAAAAAAATGGTAAACCTCACATAGTCGCCTTCAGCCTAGATGTGATAATTCCCTTCATAAAAAAAATATTAATAACCGTAAGGAGCACCCTAAGAGCAGCGAAATTGGAATTTCTACGAAAATGTATTATTTGAGCTTTAGCTCTTATTTAGAGCTTTACAGCGATAAACAATTACATAGAATATTTTCCACTTCTTCAAACACAGAAGTATTCAGTAAATTCAAATAACACCGACTTTTGCAGTTTTTTCAAATCCCCTTAATACACAACACACATTCTTGACGATTATATATCACCACGAAATAAGAAACGACAAGACAATATTGATCTTATAATTTATTTCACTCTTATAGAATTTATCATTTTCATTATCAAGAAAATGTTCTAACGTAACAGTGAAAATATTAGTTAAATACGAGATTTCTCAGCCCAGCATGACTGACAATTTCTGACGAAAATTATTCAATATCTAAATCATACCGGTGACAGATTTAAGATGGTTGTTATTAATGCTAACTTTAAATCTTATTCGAAACATAAATTGCATAATTTATATTATTTAAGACACAATGTTAATTAGAAAACAAAAAAAAGGAAGTTTGAGAAATTTCTTTCATACCTCAAAAGATAAGGTTAAATCCTAATGGCGTACAACGGCCATGTTTATGCATTCAATAACAGCAATTCTAAATCGATAGAACAAAATAAATGAAGATCTAACGTAATATCACTGTCTAATAATTACGATGTTTAGAACTGAATGTCCACCTTTCAGAAAACATAATAATGAATGTATAATACGCTGAAGCGGCCATTACTACAGCGTGAAAAATATTATGTTACAAAAAAAATGATCAATATTAGAATTTTTTATTTAATTTTTCACTTTAAGTAACGTACAACTGTTTCCTCCACGATTTAATATTCACTCGTTCGGTGTCTACCCACATTCTTTGTTATCCAATGAAACGACAGGTAAGTACTGTCACCTACAAGAAAATATAAGATAAATAAAATTCACTTCCCCACCACAGGAAATTGTAAACGTAAAAATCTTTTAACGGGGCGAAGAGGGGGTAATTCTTCCCGGGTAGTTCAAACCGAAGCTGCACACGACCCTGTTTTGCACACAGCACCAATTCGTTGCGCACGACACGACACCGTCGTAAACTGAATTATTACAAAAGCAATTAAAATACCTTGAATTATAAATTTTGCCTCCCAAAGAGTGAAAAAAATATTGTCCATCGTACATCCCGACGAATTTGTGCGAGTTATGGTTACTACCATAACAAATCGTGCGCAGAAATGACGTCACATCCCACCGTGCGCCATTAGTGCCGTGTGCAATTGCCGTGCGCAGTCTTTAGGAGGGAATATAAACTCGTTCCCGGTAGATCGCAACTAGTTGTAAAAGCAGTGAAAGTTACCGGAGAAAAGATCCACAATGGTTTGGCCACGCGGGTCGTTGTTTCAGAAAGAAAAGAAAAAATCTCTAAACGGTAAGTCTACCTACTTTTTCTTCGTATTTTCAGACGCATAGTGTTCTTTTTGTTTCTGTTAGTAAAAAAAATATCCATTTATCGCCCGCAGGTACAAGTGTCGACTACGTCATAGACTAAAAAGAAATACTAGAATAACAGAAAAACGTAGGGTATTTCCAAACACTTAAATCAAAAGAACATTTCATTTCCTTAATATCTGTACTTCATAAAACCTGAGAAACAGTTCTTTAAACAAAAATTTAAAAAACGAATTGAAATTGGATCATTTCTTTTATATAATTGCGTTATCGATCTTATGATTTGATTAGAATATCATAAATATCGATGCAAGCTAAGCTAGGTATGATGTCAAAAGCGTATTAAATGAGATCAATATTCGGTGTATTTTCTTTCTTCAGAATGTAGTTTCTATAAAAGAATTCCCCAAGGTTTCCGTGGCAACGATTTGGAAATTTCTCAACTGATGACATAAACCAGCTGCATTTCGTCATTCCAATAAAAACTACGAATCAGTTCTGCAGTTGAGAAACGTAAAGAGCAAAATTTAATGTTAGTTGATACATATGGAGGTTCTTCGAAAATAAACGTGATATAGCCTTGTAATTTGCGAACTCCCGAATAAAATGTGCTCGTGATAAAACCTTCGTATGCATAAAACATGTGTATTGACTTTCCCGTTCAAAAAAAGGCGCATATTCGAGTATAAGTTTCATTTGCTAGCGATCAGGAACACGGGGATGAAAGTAAACGGTTGAATATTTCAAAACCAATTGAAAGTTCATACCTACAAAATGCACTCTTGAACTTTTTACTTCACTCATACTTTTCAGGTAATTTTATATCTTTATGAAGACAATGAGCCTATTCACTTTATTTGGAGTTATCTAGATTTAAGTAAATCAAATAAAGACAAGCTTTTAAAATACAATATTTGTAAGTTACCTCTAACAGTTTTTCTGATTTCCATGAAATAAAGTAAAACCAATGTGCTTAAAAGAAATGAGTACCAATAATATTAACATAGAATCAATTTACACAAAACATTGCTTGTTCCAGTTAAAGGGAAACAACACATAACTTACCTGAAATTAAAGTTGAAATGTTTCAAACATGGAAAGAAAGAAAACTTACGTATTTATCCCAAATATAAAAATTGTACACATTTAATATGCTTTTTTAATTCATTTTCTTCCAGAATGTCTTGCTCAAATAGTTGTTTTTTCTGTTGTTTCTAGACAAACACCCAGTAACCCAAGCACCTGCTTGTCCAAGCTGCAGAGCACATGGATGCTGCAAATCGTGTGGTCCAAACTGCAGATGCACTCGAATAGTGATTCGACCTCCTCTTTTTACCTACTACACGGACACTATGCATTGATAAATATCATTGAATCATATCAGGAATGATATCTCTGACATGTCATGCAATTACTAGATATTGACATGACATTTCTCCATATTGAGTAGGAGTTTTCTTGAATTACAATGTTCAGAATTCATACAAAAATTTTAATGAACATAACTTCAAGAATAAATAAGCAGGTTGCAACACAAATTGTGACTTCTGCTTCTTTGAAGAATTTTAATAAGAGGCCTTGACTCTTAAAAAACAAGTTTCATTGATAAGGGAAACAGCTACACGAGACTTGTGTAGGTCCAATACTAAAATAAGATAGTTTCAAGAGACTATCAGCGATGCATAAAAAGGTTTTTACTAAACATTCATATTTGTGTTTCATAGTTTCAACAGGTAAAATAAAATAAAATCTCTCAATCTAATTCAATGACCATTCCTGTGTCCTAAATATTGTATGCAACAAGTATAATTTAAAAATTAATTAGCAGAACATTTATTTTCTATGAATTACTCATGTACCTTTTTATAACAATGTCATTAAATTTGAATCAACTGTAAGAAATTACAAAAGATGCAACAAAGAACTAAGAATTACAAAGAACAAAGAATTAATTTTTTTCCCCAAAGATGTTTTGTTTTAATGGGTTTGCAACATCACATCCAATATCAATCTTGCAAGGTAGGTAACAGCATGAAGAAAAAAGGCTGTGGGTTTGATACGAACCTAAAAGTTTTAATCTGGAGTGTGTACACTCAAATCTGTGATAAATCAAGTATTTCATTTCATTATCCATAGCCTCAAAGTCTTTTACTCTCTAGGAAAACAAGAACTAGAAGTCTTAGTCTTTAGTTAACAACTGTCATGAATTTAGCATCTTCCTTCAACAACTTAAAGTAGAAAAATACGAATAGTAATTGAAAAGAAAACAAATTATCTAATGCAATTCTGCAAGTAATAAACAAAATCACAGAGTAATCTTGTTTATATTTCTGGGTAAAATTACTGCCATTAGAAAAATAAATCATATTTAGGACATACATGATGTTTTCATGAATTTCTAAATAAACACCACCTCTTAATTATTTTACATGAGATGCTTTTCAATGGTCCAAGAAAAGGGTGAAGAGATACGGGCAAGAAATAATTCAGGCCCTAGTCATCAGTCTGTTTTGCAGCTAGAAGTTAATGCGAGTTGATTTGCTAGCAGGTGTCAGCTGTATTATTGAGAATACTAAGAAAGGGAGAGAAAGTAAGAGAAAGGACACACATTAACAAAAGCTGGGAATATTTATCAAGTTAATTCTTTCACACAAGCAATTGTAGGAGTTGAAGCAAACTGAAAGGTCTAATCCTTGCAGCTGATAAGCAATGTTTTAACTAGATCCTAAAACTAAACACTTAAAAGTTTCTCCCTTTCTTTTGGTTTGGTCCATTGAAATTACATTATTTATAAGAATCATATCAGGGACATTAATATTTTACAAAAGGGTCAATTAAAAAACACATACGCTCTTTGTAATCTTAAATACATAAAGAACATCTTTCACAGATAATATTTAAAATTTCAAGTTCTAACAATTTTATGTTATCATACAGCAGTGTTCATAAATTGCTGATAATACAAATCACAGAAGCAGTACTGCAAATTTACCATCGTTTCAACCTAACGATAAATGGCAGGCCTGGTTTCTCCGATGTTATATTGTAATATTAATCAGAAATGACCACAAATGCCAGTTTGTCTAAAGGTCAGATATGTTCTGAGAGTACATATGAAGTGCTCCGCTGTAGATAGTGCTACATCACATTTCTATGCCCACAGCTCTAAATAGTCCTATGACAATATAATACCATGAGTATTTTCCCTATATCAATTACTAGTGCATTTTGTGTAAGTATTGTGGAGCTGATACAACAAAAGGATGCTATATTGTATTTCTTCTTTACTCTAGGAAGAGGAATGACGGATCAAAACTGTAAATCTTATTTCTCAAAATGAATTCGATGTGGCATAGGACTATCTATTCAAGCTCTTCCTATATTTCCTCTCTAAGAAAATGGGCATATTACCAATTTTAAAAAATACAAAGAATAATCTTTCAATGTTTGCCCAATCTGGAGCAAGGAACATCAGTTGTTGATTTCATTTACACACATTTGTTACCAACATTATACCATTCAAGTTTACAAAATATGAAAAAATTACTCACCGAAGTAGCCATGTTTGCAGAACAGAATCTTCGATACGGAACAAAGCACTTCTTCTTGTTGTTTGCACTTGTCGATTAAGCTGAGATAACTTTGCCCAGAGTCAGTAGGAGAGTCGGTTGCATACTCACACCTTCCTGTGTTGATTTACATCATATATGTGATTCCTCCTGAATTCTTCAATCTCTTTTATTATTATCTTCATTCATCCCCTTTTACTTCACTCATAAGTATATCCAATACTGTTAAACTCTTAACCAAGCACAAGTATAGAAAAGAAATCACCTATCTTTCCTCACTGCATGATTTTTTTTTTTTGTTTGCATCTCACACAAAACCAGACAATTGATTGTTTTACAGTATTATATAACAAGCATAAGTTAATGAGTGATCAAACATAGATATAGAAAAAGACACTTACCCTAAGCCTATCACCACTGACGCAAGCATGAGATATTCGTTCACTTCCTGCTAAATCTACTAGGTTGATTTTACTTCTCTTACTATGGACATGGTGATCTTCCAAAACCTCTTCCTCCTAAACAAATAAAAATAATTAAACCTGTCTTTTATAAGCATTATTAGCAAACAGCAGTTCTGAACTTTTAGAAGTGTCAGGAAATTGAACTTTCATAAGTTGAAAGCATTGTCCAAGAATACATTTTCACATATGTTTCCCCTATTAATCACAAGCATTTATTTATCCAGAGCAATATGTTAAAATAAAATCACTTGAATGTGATATTAGTCACATCATAAATGAAGGTTACATACAAGATTATGAACAATTCATATATCTAATTATTCTCAAAATATTTTCACTAACAAATTACAAACCTCTGTTTGTGTCAATATTACACTAAATATAGAATGAGAACGTGAGCTCTTCTCATTCATTCCTGTGGCAGCAGTGGCTCTCTGGCTATTTCCAACTTTCAACCATCCCTGAAAATTGAAACTGAAATTAACAAATTTTGCTCTTACCATAATGAAATACCATTAAAAGAATGTGGCATTTGATACGCACTACGAGAGAGTAGTTCATTTCTTTGGCATCCATGATGCTGAATGTCATGTGCAATTTACTTAAGTATTTACTAATGCCAGAGCAGCTCGGCCCATCGAAGTCTGTTTGCACAAAATTAGAACAAGAGGTCGGAAGCTATTCAATGTATTACCTCCAATAAAACCCTGCACAATTAATGGCCATGCACACTCCTTTATGCCATGCAGTTTTAGATTGTGCATTTCCATCTGTAGTACATCATACACAGCTCCTAACTGTTTACATAAATAAACAAGTCATTATCTAGGTGTTTATTAGATAGAAAGCATAGGTCTTCGGCCTCATAATCTCTATGGCTATCATTCTGAAGCTACCAATCTGTGAGAAGCACAATAACAATTATAATACCAGTAGAATGCCCATTAAAATATAATAACAGTATAATCTTAAGTTTTCTTGGGCAAAATCTATACTTCTCATCCAATTTTGGACTAAAAAGCTGCCTTGTATGACATACGAATGTTGTAATGACTTAAATATTATCTTCTATTTCTAACTTTGGTAATCTAAACAAAAAGATAAATGTGCTTCACAAAATATCTTCTAAGGATACTGGCTCCACAATAATTAATCCTAATAACTAGTATGAGATACTGGGGCCAAATTTATACAAACAAACCACCTGAAGTAGCTTCTAGTGCAACTGGGAGATATGAAATAATCAGATCATGAAATAATCTTCATATCCCTATCAGAGTTGCATTAAACACTTGGGGCATGGGATGATTTGAATAATATGTATCATTTCATTCATTTGAAAATTTGATTGTAGTTTTGAGATTCCTATTTCATGTTTAAAGAAATGAGCTATTGCATTGATTTCAAGACAGTATCACAAACAAACAGGAATTTATATTCCAAAATTTTGTACATTTCTACTTTGTAATGTTCTCTCTTTGTTTATGTAAAATAAATTATTGCACCGTTCATTTTAATTTATCTCTTGGAGCTCTATGGGGATTTTTGTAACATTTTGCTGGATCCTTTAGAAGAATCCTTGGCAATCCCACAATTCAAAATAAACTCATAAACGACATTCATGAATCGTTGTTTTGGAAGTAGCCTAATTAAGTAAAAGGTTGCAGTTAGTGCATTAACAAGTGGCTTCACTTGCAAGATTGCAAAATTCTCCCTTCACTAGCAGGATCATATTGAATTAGTCAAGCTCTTCCTATATATCCTCTCTAAGAAAATGGGCATATTACCAATTTCAAAAAATACAAAGAATAATCGTTCAATATTTACCCAATCTGAGCAGATTATCAGTTGTTATTTCATGCACACACATTTTAGTATCAACAATACTATTCAATACAAAATATGAAAAACATTGCAAATGGAGTTCCTAATTCTGTATCAGAGTCTTATATTTTTTAGAAATTGTGTATATTCTCCCATTAAAATAAACATACATTTGACACACACAAAACAACTAACTGCAGAACTCCAAGGCCAATATAAGCATACATTTAATGTTTTCCGTGGCAATGTCATGATTACCATAGTCAATCATATTCTTTACCACCATTTTAACTATGGAAAAATGAAAATTGCTAAAGGTATTCTTACTTAAAGTTCCAACATTTAAAAGAAAATCTTAATTTCAAATATATTATTATATCAATTATGATTTCTGAAAACAATTCCCCAAACCAGAATGGCCCCCCTGAAAATTTTGGAAGGGGCCTGTAGCCTTATGAAATATAATATTTTATTTCCATAAATACGTTAAATCTATGGTAAAAATGATGTATAGAATCTATAATTACATTTTAAAACGCCCAGTAATTATGCCAAAAGGATGGACATGTTAATCTATCCCTACACTCCACATATTTCATTGTTATTGCCTTATTGTCAAAGTGATATAAAATACTAAAAATGTCAACATATTATTTAGTTGTAAAAGTTAACACACATAGTGCTGTAGTCATTAACATGTTGATTCGTTATTTTCCAATAATTAAAATTACATTTTGTATTTATGGTGTGTTTATTTTTTAAATGTACAAAAAAATATTACACGTTTTAAATAAAAATATGGAATGAAATATGTGGTAAAATTGTTAAATTTTCCAAAAAATATGAAAAAAATTGAAACAGATGAATTCAGAGCAAAAAGCATGAAACTTTCAAATCTATCCTAAAAGGTGTCCAACAGAGACTTGATATCCATAGAAAACTCTTAAAAATTTGTTAAAATAATCCCAAATCCCATCAAAAAATTAACTGAAAATAGCTAAATTGTATGAAATTACCCCCCAAAAATTCAACCAAGTTGGAATCAATTCCTCCTACAACTGCCCACAACTACATTTCAAAAAATTGCTGTACAAGTAAAAGGTCAGTTCTAAGAAAAACTTGAATGGTTAAGATGGCCCAGAAATAAGGATAGCACCTTCTTTTATTTTAGATTTATGAATAAAGTATTTGAGAGGTTATTGAGAAAGAACTGATTTTATAACACTGAATAATTTTGCAATCAAGGCAAGTGTGCTTAAAATTTATAGATATAGTGATAGATTTGAAAGTTTCATGCTTTTGTTCTGAATTCATCTGTTTCAATAGTGAATGTACAGTTTCCAATTTTTTGGAAAATTTAACAATTTTACTTGGTTTTTATACCTTCAAGTCTTCATAAGAAGTTACACCATGAACAGATAGATCTTCAACATAAGGACCAAAAACTGGATGTTCTCGAACTTTTAACGGTTTTCTTCCAGGATCAGAAGATCCACCAAGTAAATCATGAATTTTTTCATTATATATTTCAAAGTAACTAATTTCTACAGTGGTTGAAGTAGTTGATGATCCTGTTTCTGAAGTAATTTTATTAAAAAGTTTATGACAAAATCTAGGGATAATTCCAGCTTCTTTTCCTAGGACACTTTCCATATCTGAATCCACACCCATCATACTACAAAAGATGAAACACAATTACTTCAACAATGAGAAAAAGTATTAACACAATAATTCACAAAACAAACATGTCTAATAATAAAATAATAACCTGTAACTTTTTCCTGAACCTGTTTGTCCATATGCAAACAAGCAAGCATTATAACCTTCAAACATTTTTTCAAGAAGAGGTTCAACCATTGTGGAAAAAATTGTATTCTGATGTGCATATTGTGGATGGTGTGGTTGATCAGACAAAAAACAATGATCATATACGAATGTATGTGCAGTGCCAGTGTCACACTTGACAGTTACTTCATTTCCAACAACAGAAATAACATTCATTATGTTTGTATCACTATTCTCTCTACTATTAATGGGCCGCACTCTTACACCCACAGTCAAATTACTTGTTTCAGCTTCTGTCAAGACAGACACATTTCCAAGTTCTTCCTTTCTCAAGGGTGTTTCCATGTGAACTTTATTATAACAATCTGGTGTTGCAGATAATTTCAAGTTTATTTCACAAGAGAAAGCTTTTAAACTGTGCCTTTGTTGGCTCTCTGAATATTGTCTATGGTTAGAGGACGGCTGTTTTGTCCTCTGTGCACCACTACGTCGAGGTGTAGCATATTGGGAAACAGGTGTTCGATCACAAGATGTATACTTTGGTAAAACATTTGAAAATTTCTGGGTCCCATCTTTTCCTTTTTCCTCTGATCTTGCCTGAATGTTTTTGTCATGTAGACTGGGTATTGATCGAGAACGGTGAAGAACATTACCACGAACTGGAGTTTTTGGCAGAGGAGATTCTGTTCTTCCTTCTGAATGCAATTTTGCATTTAAAGATGGGTCACTTTGATGATGATTATGTCGTTGTATCAAAGATTTGGGTTTCTGAGGATCCACCTTTTCAGATTTGTTGCTCTTTGCAGAAACTGGTGTGCTGAAACAAATTTTTTCATTAATATCTCTTAGTCTACATTTAGCATTGCATTACATTCAAAATATTTGTTTACAGAAGAATAACATTTTAATCAAAACTAATGCTTTAAATTTTGTTAGGACTTCAAGTGTAGTCTTATATTTCAATTCAAAGGTAACAAAAAAATAACTTTAATCAAAATTCCTTGTACACCCCATGTGCTCTAGCTGATAAAATGTGAAAAGATAATTCAATATTTACAGTCACAATAAAAAAACTCTCTGATCAGGTCATTTTTGGCAAAGATGTAATTTTTACAATCCTTCCTTCTCATTTTACTGAAAGGGATAAGGAAAATCGTGATAACCTTCATTTTTGTAAGCCAGAGGAACAACAAAGTAAATCCAGATTTTTCTCAGTGTGTACACTTTCAACACATTTATACAGCATTTGGATTGTAATGTTTATTTTGGGGGTATATCCAAAGACTTATATTTTGGATGTGTGAAATGTAGATTATGATAATATTACTTTAACCGCTTCATTTAGAGCTTAAAAAAATGAGATGTGCAAATTTTCACTCAAAACTGTCATGTGTACTTTCGGTTTTATTGCTTAAGCATTTACAAGTTGGAGATCTAAAAATTAAACAAAAACTCCTTCCATCCTCCAAAAGATTATGATATCAAAGAAGGGGAGGCGAAAAGGATGTGTCAAGGACACGTGGGGTCCACGAAGGGATAATTTTTTTTTTTTTAATTTTTTGTTCAATTTTTCATTATATTTTCTTTAACAGCAAGATGTTTTGTCTTAGACTGGTCAGTATTTCAAGTCAGTTTTTGTCATGTCTGGTCAGTATTACAAGTAAATTTTAAGTTAGTTTGCAGTAAGTATTTAGAAGTGATTGTAGGTGGTGATTTAAATCCAAAGTGGTGGGAGCTGGAGTATGTTGAGTGGGTGGTGGCATTTTCTATGGGTGAGTGGGTTATTGAGGATGTGGGAGTGAGGAGCAAGGAAAAGGGTAAATTTTGGATTGTTAAGTTCTTTTGCACACAAATCTTTGCATTGTTGTATATTTCCGTTTGAATTGGTGTCAATCTTATTTTCGTGGTAATTGTTGGGTATCTGGTAAGGGGCAGAGGTCAAAAGATGAGTCAGATGAAGCGATTGTCAACTTTTTTAAGACTGTCATAGTTCATAGGCATAGTAGTAGCCCAGGTCTCGCATCCATAGAGTAAAGTCGGTTTAAGGTACGTTTTGTAGATGTATTCCTTTGTCTTGCTGTCTAGTTTTGGTTGGGAAATGAGGGGAATTAATGCACAGATTGCTCAATGAGCTTTTTTGGTAATATCTTTAACATGGTCTGTTCAGTATAATCGTTGGTTGAATGTCAGTCCTAAGTATTTCTCAGTCTGTGTCCATGGGATGGGGATGTTAAAAGTAATGGGGGGAAGTCATGATTTGTTTGTAAGTGGAGAAAATGATTGCATAGCATTTTGTTGGGTTGATTTTTAGTCGTGGTCAACTGGGTCAGTAAGTCAAGTGTTACATTGTAGTTCAGTGATAGCTATTGGTAGTTGGTTGCGACAAAAGCAACGTTGTCTGTGTATTGGTAGTCATTTACAACTTGTAATGTGGGAATGTCAATGGAGGGAGTATGTCGATAGAGAACAGGGTGGAGGAAAGCCCTGAGGGACCCTGGCTGGGATTGGTCCAAGGGAGGGCAGGCAGGAAAGGTATTTAACATGGAAGGATCTGCTCGATAGGTAGCTACATAAGTGCTGGAAAAAGATGGGGATATGCGAGCTGATTTTAAGCAGGAGGATGTCATGGTCAATGGTGATGAAGTCGATAAGTAGTGCAGGAAATGTGTAGTCGGGTTCGTATGTCACTGGTGAGATGGGGGTCTGAAGTGCTTATGATCAGTCCTCCCGGAAGCCATATTGGTCCATTGTCAGTGATCGTCAATGATAGGATTCAGTAGACGAAGGATGATTTTGCCAAAACTTTACTGATGATAGAGATGAGGCTGATCGGTTGATAATTATTTGGGTCTCTATTGCTTTTATGGGGCTTCTGTATCATCTTGACGGTCGCATATTTCCATATGTGAGGGTAGTACTGTAGTCAGATGCATTTGTTAAAGACAAGAGTAAGGTGCCAAATGGCGCTTTTCGTTAGTCTACGAAACACAGTTGCTTTCACTTAATCAGGACCAGTCACATTTGTCTTATCCACTGCATGAAGTTGTTCTTTGATTTCATCTGCTGTTATAGTCCATGGGCCTTGAAGTGCATAGTGAAGGTTCGGCATTTTCAGGAAATGAAGAATTAGGTTGTCAGGTAATTGGGTGCTCTGAGAGGAGAATCTATTTTGAAGGATGTTGGCAAAGGTTTCGGATATAGTCTGGGGCGTAAGTCCGTTGGCCGCTCGAAAGGTTGACAAGTGAAAATATTTGTGTTTTTGTCTCGTCTATCCAGAGCTTCTGGGGACGCTTAGTCATAGCGTACTTTAGTCTTTCGTCCAGTTTCTGTTGTTAGTATCTGTTCTCGTATTTGTCTATGTAGTTGCAAAAATAGAGTTCTCTCTAGTGGTCTTCGAGTCCTGTAAATCATCTGCTCTTCTTGTATTTGTCTATGTAGTTGTAAAAATAGAGTTATCTCTTGTTGTCTTTGAGTCCTGTAAAACTGTTTGAGCCTTTGTGCCTTGTTAGGGAATAGATATGGGAGGGGAGTTGGATTTTGGATAAGAGAATTGAGGTAATGGATTTGTATAGGGATCTGTTAATATTGAGATTGAAATGTTCTATGGACTTGTCTATATCGGATGTGGTTTCTAGGGCAGGTGGGGATTTAATTTTCTTGGATATAAGGTTTTTGTAATGTTTCCAGTCTATGGTGATTTCACGGGATATAGGTATAGGGTCATGGGAGAAGGCGTTGATGGTGGAAATGACAGGATTAGTCTTATTCTAGTTCGTAATTTGAATAAGGAATGGTTAGGACTATGGAATTGGAGTGGATATCTACATCAAGGATATCATGGGGAAGTCATTTAATAAGTGGGTAGGTACTGAAGGAATGGCTAAAGCCCTATTGTTATGGTTTCGTATGTAACCAAGTAGCTCTCATCCAGCATTGTTAGTCCCTCTGCATTCCCAGGCTGTGTGTGTTGTTTTTAAGTCTCCGGCGATTATTGTTTTGTCTGTCAATCAGTTTTGTTTGTCGGCGATTATTGTTTTGTCTGTCATCATCAAGGTCAGAGTGGAGTAAAGGCACGCTTAGGTGCGTGTAGGAGGAGATAACCGTTTTGGGGTCATGAGGGGTTCACAGTTCGATGCGGGTGTTTTCTATGTGGGTTGAGGACATAGGAGAGAGTTGGGTATGTGGGATGTTTTTGCGAATCCACATGGCGGTTCCTCCTCCCAGGGTGGGTCTGTCAGTCCGGTAGGTGAGGAAGCCAGGGATAGAAAAAGTCTGCGAGGATGTCAGTTTTATCTACTGTATCAGTAATATCCCGACGGAGTAGTCCTTGATGCATTGTCTGATGTCCGTCTTCTTCCGGGATAGTCCTCCATGTTGTTACATTAGTCAGTCTTAGTCTAGTTTAGTTTAGTTGCCTTAGTTAGATTACATCAAATTTTGGTCAGAACGGTCAGATGTTGCATCCATTTAGCATGGTAAACTTTTTTTACTTCTCAGACAGTCAATGTTGATGATGATGATGCTTGTGATGATTGATTTGTCGATTAATTTATGATGTCAGCGTATGAGGTGTTGGAGTTGTTCTGGGAATTTTGGAGAGAGTTTCTGGGAAGTTCAGAGAATGCAGTTAGTGAGTGTGGGTTTGGTGCAGTCTGTTGCGTGTCTGAGTCCTTGCCTTTTGTTTTGTCAGCTGTTGTAGTCTGTAGAATATTGATCAAATTAAACAACAAGTATTCACAAGATAACTCTGTATCTCTCGTGTAACTCTTTGCAATTTACTTTACTCATGACATGAGTACTAAAAAAGTACATCTTCAAAATAAGAGCAAAATAAGGCTTTGAAAACACCTTTGGCCTTCTGATAAGTAGATGATGTGCATGTCGTAATGGGCATCTATTTTCCTTGGGTACAATTAAATTAAATTGAAGATGTAAACCAGACTTTCCTTTAGTCATTAGCAGAGCTTGGATTCTGATGAAATGTCATTTTTTCTTTGGTTCATTCTAGACAGCTAACTTGTAAATGAATGTTTATCACAACTAGAGACAGGATTTCCATGCAATATCAAATACTAAAATATGCTTGCAAACATGCACTATCAAATAGAGAAACATGCATGATGCAGGGTAAAAAAATGAGAAAATATGCACACTTAGTTTAGTGTATTTTTTATTGTTTTTATTTTTATATGAGTGTACAATTAACAATTTTTCTAAATTTTACTCTCTCAAATTCATCCTTTTGCCGAAAATGCTTTCTATGCCACAAGTCAAGATTGGAGCGTACTTCAAAAATGAAATCTGAGCTAATAAGAAGACAATTGTGTTTTATGATTTTTCACCATATATAATGATTTTACATTTTGGAGAAATTTCAAATCAGGATTTGAATTTAACTCTCAATGTAATTTCTCCTTAGCAGTTACACTCACATTTCCAAACACTAATTGCAAAGACATGTTAATGTCTTCAACAATATTTAATGACCCAAGAATAAGGAAATCCGCTGTTTCTAATTTTTTAATTACTACTGTAAGCAATTTTATAAAATTTGACATAGTGTATTATTTTAATTTTTATAGACATGGTTTTTTAAAACATATTTTAGTTTTTTTGGATGCACAACGATCGACTCTTTTCTTGATTATTTTCCCTCTAATGTCAGTTGTCAAGAGATATTGAGATACAGCTTCTTCTATCTCAACTGTTGCACACATTCTTGATTGTCAAAAATCTAAATCCAGTGTATTGGATTGTTAAAATATTTAGTATGGCAATAAGAAAATTCACCTGTGTATAGTCAGGACATAAGAATAATGTGCTATGTATACAATTTACGCATCAATTTCAATACACACAAATTATGCCAAAAATAATTTTAAGAAAGAACTTAATATGCTAGACAGAAGACTACATAGTACTATTAATTGAAAAAAGTCCAAACATGCATTAATCATGAATTTCTCTTTAAAAAAAAACTACCAAAACATGCCAGAGAAAGTATGCATTTTTTTTATGAGTTTGCCATGAAAGATATATTTACGAAGTTTGAAAGCTCTGGGTAACTTGAATAAAAACATGCATTAGCATGGAAATCGTGACTCTAATCATGACATATAGGTGATAAAAATGTAATGTTATTGTGTTATTTTTTGTCATTTTTCAATTTTAAGTACGGGCGGTAAGTAAGGCGCCAAATTTAAGTAAGGTGGGGAGAAACTGCACATTTTTATGCATTTTGTTTCCTTTTCGTATTTTTGTCGGTGAGTGTTTCAAAAATTTACAATGACACACTAAAACAAAGTTTTTTATTGTGTTGTTAGTTTATGATGAAATTCACTACTGCAGTAGACTATTTTTTGAACTCTCAAAATTACACAGATCTGTGGTAACCTTTCAAAACTGACAGTTGGAAGATTGTAACTAAGGTTTACATTCCCTTCTAAAATGAAAGCTATGAATTAAATATAATTTTATTTTAAGATTATTTAAAATTGCAATATTCATTGAAACAGTAAACATTTTTATATAACGTTTTAAGTATTTTTTTAAAAAATTAGGTCATTGTGCCATTATTTTAAGCCATTTTCCTCTTATGTTTAAGCAGTTTTATAAGGTCACTTTCAAAGAATTTTTAGGTCGTCAGAATCCAAGCCCTCATCATCAGCAATTTACTTTTTATAGTGTGAGGATCACTTACAAAATTAAGAAATTAGGAAGCAAGTGATAACTGGCACTGATGTAATAAATATAAATAAAAAAATGAAAGGTTACAAAATAAGTCATCTGTAACAGATTACAACTGACAGAATAATTGCAAAGAAGAAAAATTAGAAGTAGAAAAAGAGGAAGACAGAAAAACTGGTAAAATGATAGCATTCAGGAGGAAATGACCAGAAAAGAATTGCTGAAGATGATTGTAAGGAAAAAAGATGGAACTGTAGTGCAAAGAGATTGTACCAGACATTCTAGAATTAAACTAGTAATATTAGCGCATTCGACAATGAAGTTATGCCCGATACACTTAATTGATAAGCAATTCCCTGCATGTCAACTGCTAAGGTATTTTATCCTGTAAGTGTAGTGTGTGTTTCTTCCTTGTGAGGTGGCAGCAATCTTCCCCCACTGGATGGTGACATCTGCCGCCAACCTACATGTCAGCTAGAGGTGTTTCTCTCGATCAGGTATCTCCTATTGAGAGGGCATTGTCTCAGCCAGGACAAGCTCTAAGCTCCCAACCAATCTCCCGGCATGTAAGGTAGTGCAGTGCATGCGAGTATATCAATAAGGGGTGAAGATAGGACAAGGAAGGGGAAGGAAAGATCACACACAGTACATGGCCCGTTTGTTGGGGGTACTGCTCTGGCATTCTCCTGATATTGATCAGAGAAACCACGGAAAACTACCAATCAGAGCAGTTGGCAACTATACTTTTTCTCCTGACAGAAGCTGAACTAGCTATCTAGCAAGTGTTGAAAATCCTGTCACTAGTAATCAGATCTAGAACTTAGGACCTCCCGGTCAGAAACACTGCTGTGACATCAGATGGTGGCCTGAGCCACCTCTCCCGATCCACTCGAGATATGATTGGATAATTCAGCTAATTAAGATACTTCGGAGACAAAAGAATAGACCATTTGGGTCTCTCACAAAATATATTATAATGAAAATGATAATTTTTTAAATAATACAATGTGATATATCAGAATTCTACATTTTTAATGTAAACATGTAAATTTAACACTGAAACTAAAGCTAAATTTCAGAAACTAACTCATGACACAAACTGTTTTCAATCCTGATATGAAAATCCTTTATTTACTATACAATAACATGATGAGAAATTCTGTGAACTGCCACATTCCATCCTAGTTTTCTTTCCTACAGAATATAAATTTTACACTCAGCCAATTGTACTTAATCGATATGCGGTAATGCTTTAAAGTGATTAATTAAAGTGATAAATTAAAGAATGATGCACACACACCATAGAGCAGAGCCCAGCACACAAAGTATGAATGAATAAAAACTTACTTTTTAACTCCAGGCGTAGTCTCCTGACCCCTTATGTTGCACTGGGAACTCGTTGGCATTGTAATTTACAAGTTAAGCAAAGTCGATGGTCAAAGAGAAAGCCACCATATGCAACTAATGAAAAGAAAAAAAAATTCTTAGTATAAAGAAATAGGACGTACACTTTACATTCACCACTATGTTAGGAACTCGGGAACTAAAACCACAACTAACGAAGTACAACAACCACTCTATTATCCTCAGGAAATAACAAACTCAAGTTTCACGGTTGGTCGGCACTCCGTAAACTTGTTATAGTGTGTTGTGTATAAAATTATAAAGTGAAATAATAGAAAAATTATGTTCACAGCATCTTCACAAATACTTGTTCTCGGAACCATGCACAGCAATTACAGAAAAGTTCTTTCACAAAATGTAATCATTTATGCACAAAAGAATTGCACTTCTATTGACACACTCACCAAAATTCAAAATATCGTACGCCGTCGTACGCTCAGTAAGAACACATTGCTATTGGTGCAAAATTTTGAAGAGGTGGCCATATAACAGGTTACACAACTTATGAAAACTTAAAAGTGACAATGAGAAATATTTTTTAAAATCGTGAATGATGAACACATTTGTTAATATTTACGCTCCTTATAAATATCTTATATTAACGAAATTTCTGAAATATTAATTAAAGAATGATGTGGACAAAAATGCAACAATTAAGGTGGCGTCAATGACAGGAAAGTTGTAGGCTTGTTTGTCCGCCTGGCGTTTGTCATGTTTGTCATTGCGTTGTGCCTGTTGCCGCTGGTTGAAAGAACTATACAAAAGCTTGAAAAATTTCCCTGGATTTTATTTTGTTAATATATTTAGTGCCCGCAAATGATAGTGATATTCAGTATGAAGCTGTAGAAATATTTTCTTTTTGAAGAATGTTACATTTGCTCTGGTTTGATTAAATGTCTTTGAGATTTGTTCATCTCATCTTGTGAGCAGCAGCAGCTGAAAACCTATTACCAAGACTAATATATTTTTTCTGATCATTCGGTAGTCACGATGGGGAAAGATTCGTCGAAGTCTTTTTTTAAGAGTGTTGTGATATTTGTAGTGTGTCTGTTGATATTTTTGAATTTTCCATATGTTTGTGAGACACATGCCCATTCACATGAACATGATCATGATCATGTTCATCATCATCATGACGACCATGCCCACCATGATCATCATCATAGACAAGGAGAGACTCCATCATTTAAATATTCTAGAGAAGCCAATGTAAAATATGAGGAAGATGTTAAATTTGCAGATAATAGCCACGTATCAAAAGATAGATTTACACTCTGGGCCCAAGCAATAGGTTCTACAGTGCTAATTAGTGCCGCTCCATTTCTTATTCTCTTCCTTGTCCCCTTGGATAATACTAAAGAACGAGAGCCATTGTTAAAAATTCTATTAAGCTTTGCATCTGGAAGTTTATTAGGAGATGCTTTTCTTCATCTTATTCCTCATGCAATTTCCCCACATTCTC